GCTGAAAACCCGGGGTGGGGGGTTTGGTAATCTGGGTTAAATTCCACCACTCAATGTGCCCACGAGTGAAGACACGAGCGCGTCACTGTGCGGACACAATGCTTTGGCCTCTTAAAGCCAACGGTCTGGGCCGAAGAGGTGGTACAGTGGGCAGGGCACCGCCAGGAGGGACGCCTGAGGGCACGGCCAGGAGCAAGCCCTGAGCACCACGCTTGAAGGCTCTGCCATGCTGCCTGTATGGCCGGGGGCGCTCGATCACAGGACACCGCCAGATGCCCCCCAGGTTGACAAAGGGGCAGTCTGTCAGCAGTGGCACCAGATTGGACAGAACGAGGGAGAGTCAGTCCCTGGAGCACCCAGGGCACAGCTGGGACCCTGTCCCACCCAGCTCCTGTGCCCGGGGGCTGAGCGGCCGGGGGGTAGGGTGGACGGTGTCACAGGGACGCTGGCCATGCTCTGGTCCTAGATCTGGGCACTGTGGTACCCATTCGCCCGGAAGAACCTTTCCTGAGGGGGACATGCAGATATGTCATCTCAACGAGGATCACATTGGGGACAGACCCAGGCCCTGCACCCAGCCCTCCGGGTTCTCGGCGCTTCCTGCCGTCGCTCCCTCCCTCCGCTGCTCCCCAAGGCTGCCCGGCCCTCTGCCACTTGTTAGTTCCAATCCCCGAAGCTCCCCTTGTTATTAGTCACAGGGTCCCCGATGACGCGCCGAGGGGCAACAGCCAAGGCTGGAGACGAAGGTGAGCCCCGGGGGGCACCGCGCCGGGGGGGCCCCCACGGCCTCCTCCCCGGCTCTGCAGAGCACTGCATCAGGGCAGAGCCTGGCCCGCCCGTGACCTGCCTCCAGGCCCTGTGTTCGGCGGCTCCCGTGTCTTGGATGAGGACCGGCCCCCTGCCTGGCGGAGGGGAGCCCCCCTTCACGCTGCCCTGCTGGATCCCCTTGATCCCGCTTAAGAGGTTACAAAGTCCTCTGTGAGTGCCAGGAGCTAATGTGGGCGGAAACCCTTCCTGCAGCACCAGAGTGGCAGGCACAGACCGGCCAGGGAGCAGCGAGGCCAGCTCTCACCCGGGGCCCGACTCCCGCAACCGCGACCACAGCTTCAAGCCCCCAAAAGTGGCCCAGCCTGGAGCCCTGGTCATCACGCAGGGACCGGACGCGCTGCACACGCCGGCCAGCAGCAGGGGCTCTGGGAGCCAGAGGACACATGCAATAGGCCTCAGCAATGCCCGCCGTGCTGCTGGCCACTCGCCCCTCTTGCCCTCAAGCTGCCTTCTAGAACCTCTGCACACAGGACAAGGGGCACCTGATAATTCCTGGGGAAACTCACCTCACGCTCCACCGCCACTATTATTATTACTATTATTATTATTATTATTATTTTTGCTTTTTTTGGGTTACACCCGGAGATGCTCAGGGGTTACTCCTGGCTCTGCACTCAGGAATTACTCCTGGCAATGCTTGGGGGACCATATGGGATGCTGGGAATTGAACCTGGGTTGGCTGCGTGCAAGGCAAACGCCCTACCCACTGTGCTATCGCTCCAGCCCCTAATGTGTTGTTCTTAAGGATGACAAGTGACGAGAAGGTTCAGGGAAGAAAGTGACCATTCCAGGGCACATTCAGCTGGTGTGGGTAGAGATAGGGATCGAACCTGGGCAGACTGGCCTCGGGCAGTGCAGGCAGCGTTTTGGTGAAAAAGCACTGGTCTCACGTTGGCAAGGGCCTGGCTCTGGCCCCCAGCACTGCAAACAATTGAGCAAACACCCCGACTCTCCGCTCATGGTAACAGCTCTAGAATCTGCCCCGAGAACACAGCTCAGCGGCAGGGAGAGTGAGTGTGTGTGTGTGTGTGTGTGTGTGTGTGTGTTGAGTGGGGGCGTGGGGTGGGGGGCTAGTGGGGGGGAGGCAGGGGGCAGGAGCCCGGGCCCTGCCAGGCGAGGCCGGGCAGCTGCAACAACCCCCACACCCAGCTGGACGTGGCTGCAAAGGCACCCTCAGAAAAGAGAGGGGGGAAGGGAGGGGGCAGGGAGATGGCTGAGGAAGTGGTCAAGGGTGACACAGGGGTCACTGTTTTCTCACCAGACATCTTGGGATTCTCACAGGCCTCCTCGGAGCTGCATAGTGCCCAGCAAGGACCAGGCGCGAGTGTGGGGTGCCAGTGCATGGGGCAGGGACAGCAGCTGACCGGGGCACCCAGGACCAGTGGTCCAACAGAGAGACAGACGGATCCACGGGCCAAGCCAGTCCCCCAGTTTCTGCAGGCGGGGGGGGGGAGCACGGTCCCCCCAGCCCTGGGTCAGACCCGGCCCTGCTGCCCACAGCTGTGCAGCCTTGCGCCTCAGTCTCCATGTCTGTGATGGGGAGTTGGGGCCAGTGCACAGGCAGGTGGGCTTGGGGTGACACCCCTCCCAGGGCAGGGTCACCTGGGGTGACGGACATTGGGCAGCGAGCCCTGGTCCCCTCACCTGCACCAGCGTCTCCGACTGTTCTCCCACAGGGCAGACTCGGGGGCGGGGGGGGCAGCTGTGTTGGGCCTGGCCCCTGCCTAAGGCTGAGGCTGGGGGGGGGGGTGCTGGCGAGGCAGCAGGACATAGAGCCGCAGGCACCCCAATCCTTCTGGGTTACCACAAGGGTCACCGCCAGGTCAAGGGTGGCCGGGGACCTGTGACACCCCAGGGAGTGTGACGGCGACAGAGGCACCAACTGGGCTGGGCTGTCTGCAGAGCTGAGGGCCTGCGAGGGGTGCAGGGTGGAGGGTCCCAGGCGTGGGACAGGAACCCCGGCATCCTGAGGGTCCGAGAGGGAGGGGCGGGCTGCATCCAGAGCCGAGGCCCGCAGGCAGGCTGGCAGGGAACTCTACCCGGCGGGCACGCGGGGCCTGTCCCCGGGCCTTGTACACAGGACAGGCCTGTCCCCGCTGGGCCTGCACACACGACAAGCCTGCTGAGTCAGTCAGGTCTCATTAACTCAGCACCAGTGTTTACGCTTCTGCCCTCGGGGGAGCTGGCCCCGGGGGCCTCCCGGAGCAAACAGCGCAGGCCCCTGGGGAAGTCCGAGCTTCCAGATCCTGGACCGCTGGGCTGACGGCCGGGGGAGAGGCGATGCCCCCCCCCCCCCACTAGGGCTGGCGTGGGGGTTGTGTCTTAGGAACTGGGCCAAGGAATGGAAACTCCCTCTCCTGGCCAAAGTGTCCCGATCCCAGAAACTGCCCGACGTCGTGAGCTGAGGCGGAGCGGGGGCAAAGCCAAGGGGAGCAGGGCCGGGTCGGCAGGAGCCACGGAGTCGCCCCAGCGTGCCGCCTGCCCGGGCACGAGTCTCGGCCTCTCTGGATGCTTCTGTTAGAGCTCATCTCTACCAGAAAAACAACGGTTCGCGGAGGTAGGTCCTGCACTCACCTCGGGCACTGAAGAAAGAACTTGGGCCCCTGGAGGGGCTGGGAGGCTGGCATCGGGGGCCGGAGCAAGGCCAGTGGACAGAGGGAGCCTGGCCCCGCAGAGACGCGACAACACAGACACCAGCCCGGGGGGCGGCCAGCGCTGCAGGATTCCTAAAGGCCTGATTCAGAGGGTCTTGATGTTCTTTTTTTTTTCTTTCTTTCACTTAAAGATGGAGAAAAGAAAGGCCAGCAAGAAAAAAAGAAAACAAACCAACCCCAAAACGGCTGGTGGTGAGTTTGAAGGGGCAGTGTCAGAAGAGCAAGTGGCAGCAGAGTGTGGGACCATCCAGTGCCGACCGTCCGGACCGCGGGGGCCGGGCCAGGGCAGCTGAGCCGGAGTTCGAGTCCCCGTTCGCCCCTGGTGTCTATTTACTCGTGACTTTGAAAGGAACAGGCCTCCCAGGCCACGCCCCAGGCCACGGCAGTCGTGTGGGGCAGAGGCACTGCCACCTGGTGGCCAGAGGCATGGGGGTGGGGGGGAATGACATGTGCCCGGCCCCAGCCCTTGGGAAACGGAACTGCTGGCACCCAGGAGCCCAGGCCTAAGCACCCATGCCGCCACGGGCGAGCCGGGCAGGGTGCCGGGCCCCTTGGCCCCCACACCAGCACACACCTGCGAAACCCTCTTTGCTGCCCCCGCCACTCCGGCAGTCCAAGCTCTGCCTTTCCTGCTGTCCCCACGTCGCAGACGGGCACGGACTGAGCTTGGGAGCCCCGTGTCGAGCCAAGCCAGCCAGGCGAGCGCCCATGGCAACGGCCTCACGGGGCCAAAGGACACAGGGTGTCTGAGACTGTGGAGTGGCCTCTTCCTCCAGGCGGCCCCCTCTGACCACCACTCCACCCGCTCTCCTCTCTGCCCCGCTCTCCCGCCACCCGAATGTTCTGGCATCTCACTCCCGGCTGGCCCCAGCGGGGCTGACGTCTGCCCTGCCCGTGTGGGACACACCCGGCCACAGAGAGCTGGACACGAGGGACAATCTCCCCAAGGAGACCGAGCAGCAGCTGCGGATTCTGCGGGCAGATGTGCGCCTCCCGCCTCCTTAGTGGCCAGGGGGGCCACTGCTGACGGGAGAGGCCTGGGGTGACACCCATCCCCCCACTCACCCTCACCAGCAGAGTCCCATGGGACCCTCCCCTCCCCGGCACAGAATGTGCCTGCATCCCTGCAGCCCCGCACACTCAGTCCGGGTGACCAGGGGCGCACAGTCCGGGGCTGGATTCTCACCCCCGGCCTCAGTCTCCAAGAAGAAAGCCATGCGTCCCAGGACGCTGCCACGCCACCAAGGTGTCCAGCCCGTTCTGAGCGGAGGGTCTGAGGTGGGCTCTTGGGTGGGGTTGGGGGGGCCTTGGGAGTGGATCTGGGCCCCAGCACATGAACGTGACCAGCAGGAGTCCAATTCCCAGAAGGCTCTGTGCCGCCCTGGCCAGGAAGCCCAGTGGCAGGGAACGGGGACAGTGGGGACAACATGGATGAACAAGAACCCTGAAACTTTGGCACACTGGGGGGGCCCACAAGTCACCTCCCACCCACGTCTGGGCCTGCCCGCGGGGACTCACCTTCCACTGCAGAGAATGGAACCACTGGTCTCGTAGGTAGCTGTTGGCAGCCTGCAAGGACAAGAACAGGACAGTGACCAGTGAGCACGTGGGGCTCCCCCGAGATGTCTGGTGTCCTCTCTGCATGTGGGGGGTCACTAGGCGCGGGGTCAGACAACAGGGCAGCGGGCACCCCTGCGAGCTCCTCCCCCAGCACAGCCGTTCCAGGAGCTGGGGGCAACCTCACACCCACGGCTCAGCGCAAAAGCCGCGGCCCTGAAATGGCACAGGGAGAGAGTGGGTTCACCCTCCCCGCAGCCCAGGGCCTCTCATGCCTGTGTCTCATCTGGCACTGAGAGGACAGTGCCCGGGGCAGGCATGCCATGGACTCCTGGAACGGTTTCTGGGAGCGTGCAGAGGCCCACGTGTCAGCAGGCAGCCAGGAGGCAGCTCAGCCATTGTCACGTCAGAACTCTGCCCAGGGACGTGGGTCACGGCATGCTGTGGGTCCAAGCCCGAGACCTGCTGTGCATGGGCACCCCCACAGGACGGGTCACAGGCACTGGGCATGGGGCCATGAGTCCGCTGACCTCCAGGACCTGACAGGACCAGTCTCTCCAAGCACGACGTCACCCACTGGGTGTCAGGCCTCAAAGATATTGCAGGGGCCACACAGGCCAGGGTCTCTGTCTGGGCGTCTCTCAAAGGGGGGTAGGACCACTCTGAGAGCTGAAACTGGCTAAGGACCCACACCCCAGGAAACACATCACACACACAACACATACCCCCACCACACATACACAACACACATACCCACCACACGCCACACATTTTCACACCGTGCACACCATCCACACAACCCATCACACACGCTCAAACCGCACACCACAGACTCACACACCACACACATACCCACCACATATCACACGCTCACACCATGCACACACACTCACACACTACATACACTCATATTACAAACCGCACACACCACACACAGAGCACACGCACATTACACACATACCACACACCACACACTCACACACCAAACTATACACACATACCCACCACACACACACTCACCACACATGCGCCCACGCTACACACACCACAGACACAGACACCTATATCCCACACTCAATCGCGAGGAAAGTTTCCGAATACACCGTAGACCTAACAGTCTCCATCTTCTCTCTCTTGCAGTGTTCCTGATGAGGACCAAAAAGGCCCAGTAGTGCTGTGGACTTTGTGAGGTCAGTCGCACCTAGCTTATTCACCGATGTGTCTGCAAAAGCCTGAGGCCTGTCTGTTCAACGAAACACTGGCTGACATAAACGACCGAGTGAAAAACTGATCAGATGGAGAATGGATGAACGGATGGGGGCTGGAGGGGTGGGGGGGTTGGACGGATGGGGAGCTGGACGGATCGGGAGCTGGACGGATCGGGAGCTGGACGGTTGGCTGAATCAATGGATGAATGGGCACATGGACAGACGGAAGAAGGATGACTAAGCATGTAAGGATGAACTCATAATGGGTAGATGGATAAACAGGTGGACACACATAAGGAAGCAAGGAAGGATGTATAGGAAGAAGGATGGAGGGACAGACGGAAGGATGGAGGGACAGACGGAAGGATGGAGGGACAGACGGAAGGATGGAGGGACAGACGGAAGGATGACTAGACAAAAAGATGAATGGGTAGATGATGGCTGGATGGCCAGAAGGGCATACTGGTGAGTGAATGGGTGGTGGACAGATGACTGGGTGAATGGATGGGGGGGGGGGGGAGAAAAACAGACGGACAAATGGACAGACGGACAAATGGACAGAAGCATCGATTTTGTTCAGTGGGAAAAGCCTTACGTGGAGTAGAGCTTCGAAACAACTCTTCAGTTTTGAATGCGCCCTCTCTGCCCCGCTGGATTTGACCGAGGCACCAACCAACCACTACCGTCTCCTAGAATGCCGGCTGGGTCCCAGGCTCAGCGCGGCCGCTCTTACATGTGGTATCCCTGACCCCCACAGCGCCCTGGGAAGCAGCGTGCTGGACTCGGCTCAGAGGGAGAAGCGGCTACTCCTGCTGCCCGAGGTTGCACAGGGGTGCCAGTGGCTGTACAGGCGTGCGAGAGGTAGCACAGGTGTGCCTGAGGCTGCACAGGTGTGCCTGAGGCTGCTGAGGCGTGCCTGAGGCCACACAGGCGTGCTGGAGACAGCACAGGCACGTGCAGCAGAGACGGCCGGAAATCTGGAAACCTTAAGCTGTGATGGGGAGGAAGGGGGAGCCAGCACCTGCTCTGATCACCCTCAAGCCCGGCCTGCAAACAAGAGTGGGGCCAGAACACCCTTGTGGGAGGGGCAGGGGCTCCCAGCTCGCGGAGGACAGCGGGAGGGGGTGGCAAAGGCAGGCACGACTGCTCTGTTCGACTGTCCAGTGCTGCCGTGGCTTCTGGAATTCCGGGCTGTGTCTGGCCCCGAGGTGGAGGAGGGGACACAGCCAGGCGCTGCAGAGCCCCCTCCGAGCCCTGCGGGCCACATGGGCACTGACGGCCGGGAAAGCGCCCGCCCAGGGGGGCGGCTCCCGCTAGGGAGGCTGTTCCAGGCACTGGGCCCGACTTCCTGCCTGGCGCTGCCAAGTTCTCTCATTGTTGCTTTGTCTAGAGAGGTGAGAAAAACAGCCTGGGGTGCTCGGGGGTCTCTCAGTTTCCAGTAAGAGGGCTCCCCCCACCCTCTCCGGGCTCCCTGGGGGGATGGTCTGAAGGCGAAGCTGGGGCTTGCCAGGCACCCCTGGAAGAAGAGTCTGACCCGAGCACTGGGCACTGGGGGGAGAGGCCCAGAGCTCCCCGCAAGGAGCTCCAGGGCCCTGCCATGCCCTGCCCCCTGAGATGCCAGAGGAGAGGGCATTCCGGGAGGAAAGCGGATCAACAGCTCCTTTCTGCCCGCCAGGGTTCTAATAGCATTAGGGGAGCTCCCGCTGAGACCCTGAAACACGCCAACGGGCGCCCAGCAGGAGAGGCCCAGACGTGGGGGCCGTGGGGGCCGGGGGCCTGGAAGAGGAGAAGGAAGAGAACCGGCAGGTCCGGAGAGAGATAGCCCTGCCGGACCCTCACCGGTGCTCCGTGGGCAGCGGCACGGGCCACCCGCAGGACTTGAGGGGGAATGGGGCTGTCGCAGACACCACTGTCCGGGAAGGTGGACGCAAAGGTGAGGTCCCAGGGAGGGCCCAGGCTCGGCGCTGTCCTTCCCCTACAAGGGGCTGCAGGGGACGGAGCATGACCGTGGTGAGTCTCCACTGCCGGGCCTGGGGCCATGGCCTGGTTAAAGGGACATTCCAGGAACTGCCCCGCCAGCCCCCATCCCCCCTGCCTCTGTCCCCGGCAGGACCAGTGCTGAGGCCGGCCACCACACCAGAAGGCGGGTGCTCAGCCAGACCCCCTCCTCCCTCCAGCTCAGGCCCCTCAGAACCCCCTTGGCCCACTGCCTCCTTTTCCAAAACAAGGCCACTCAGCACCCCCAAACTACCTGCGCCCAGCAAACAGCAACCGCCCCTTACTGCCAAGGCCACAGTAGTACCCCAGGTGTCACGGCGTCTGCTGGGCCAGTACCCACTCTGGGTCACATGGCTCCAATGCCCGCGCCCCAGGCTTATCTGCCACCCACTTCCCATGGACCTTTACCCTCCGCCCCTCCACCCTGCAAATGGGCTCATCTCCCCGCCCCCCAGCCCCATAACAAGCTCTTAAAGGCACCCCGAGACCCTCAGAACACACACACACACACACACACACACACAACACACAACACACACGGCACCATCACCCCACTGCCAAGACCTTGAGGATCGGCCCGGACCCCACTCTGAGGACCCCCTCCACTCCTCCCTGTCCAGAGCCGGCACACTCTGACTCAGCCCTGAGTGCCCCATGAAAACGTCACCACCCTGGGGAGCCTGCCTAGGACCTGGGTGCAGCGGGTCACCTGCCCGAGCTGTGATCTCTGCAGGAATGCGGGGCTTGTCCCCATGGGGCCCCCAGCCCAGTTGAGCCAGAGGACAGCAACTGTGCGTGGGGGTGTGGCGGAGAGAAAGGGGTGAGGTCCTCCCCAGGGTAGGGCATCCTCCCTGGCCCTCCTGTGAGGACCAGTCTCGGCACTGAGGTGGGAACACTCAGGGATCTGGGGGGCATTTCCGGGCAGGTCTCCCAGGAGGGAGGGAAAGAGGAAGAAGCTGCTTCGGCCAGGCCTGGGGGAGCTCTGGGAGGTCCCTGCTGGGGGGCCGGGGTGCTGCTTCTCCTTATGCACAGCTGAGCCCCTCCACAGGTCCTGACAGGCAGCCCGGACTGCAGAAGGGCCTGTGCTCAGGGCGGGCAAGCACCCAGGACAGCACCTTCCCCAGGGTGTAGGGACTGCACAGAGCGACCCCTCCCTCCTGTGCGCTGTGAGACACCAGGAGGGAAAAGGAGCCAGGGTCACCCTCTCACCCACGGCAAGCTCAGGGAGCCTGGCCCAGCCCAGCCCAAGCCATCGACCCGCCCCCTGGAGTCCTGCCTGACTCTGAAGCCCACCCACAAAGCAACACCCATGGGGTATCCGCCCACCCTGAGGGTGGGGGGGGGAGGGGAGGCCACAGTCCCCTGGCTCCTGGATCCAGCTGTGCCTGAAGTCCTTCCTCGGACTTTTCAGAGGCGTCAAGGCGTCCCATGCCTCTGGCTGCAGACACTGAACACGTGGCTGTCCCCCCCCACCCCAGCAGTCCCCGCCAGCCCACGGCATGCCCACTTTCCCAGGGGACTGTGGCACCTCCTGTGCGCCATGCTTGAGGGGACTCAGGCCAGTGGGAAGCAGGACAAGCTGCCGCCTGGTGCAGAGCCCAGGTGGACGGGCCGTCTCCCCACTCTCACAGCCTCCTCCAGGCCCACTGCGTGCCCCCCGCCCTCATGCCTCAGTTTCCTCACTGGGAAGCCTGAGACAAGAAACCCTTTTTCTTTCTCTTTTTATTTTTGCTTTTTGGGTCACACCCAGTGATGCTCAGGGGTTACTCCTGGCTCTGCACTCAGGAATTACACCTGGTGGTGCTCGGGGGACCTTCTGGGATGCTGGGAATCGAACCCGGGTCGACAGCGTGCAAGGCAAACACCCTCCCCGCTGTGCTATTGCTCCAGCCCCAAAACCCTATTTCTTGGGGTTGCTTTGGCCAGGCCCCTAGGCTTGGAGAGGGGGTCCCCCGCCCGTGCACACGCCCCCTCCTCCACCCCCACCCCACCAGGGCTGGCCGACAGCCCGTTCCTACCTGCAGCAGGACAGTTCCCCCGGGAATGGTGAGCTGTAAACAGTACTTCGGGGCGTTCTCCCAGGACAGCAGCTGCACGTCCTCAATGGCGCTGTAGGACACGGAGTTCTCCATGTAGCCAGTGGGCTGTGTGGGAGAGAAAAGACGCAGGGGTCAGTGACAAGATGGCCAGCAGTTCGGGGGGCACTGGGACAAAGGCTCCCTCCCCCCATCATGCCTACGAACAAAGACCATTCCCCCTACCCCATGGGTCCCCCGCCACAGGGAGGCCGCAGCTTGTCCACCCCGCGGTGAAGAGCCACAAGGGATCACGGAGCCCGGCTGTGCAAAGGCCCTAGGGCAGCCTCCCAGCTGTGCATGTTAGGGGGGAACCAGAAGATGGGGGTCTCTGGGTTGGGGAAACAGGCACAGGCAGGACAATGCCAGGGCCAGGTGGGCAGGACAATGCCAGGGCCAGGAGGACACCCTCCCCCGCCACACCCCAGACCAGGCGAGGTGGTGCCTGCCAACATGCTTCACACATCTGCGGGCTCCTGGGCCCTCCAGTCCACCCCAGCCTCCCTGGCTCCAACGGGGCCTCGAGGGTGCCCGCTCTGCTCCGAGGGCCACGTCGGTGTGGGGACAGGGGCTGCATGGGTGCAGACAGTCTTGTTCTTATTAATCAACATCCCCTGGACAGAACCATGATTGCCACCTGTGTACTGCCCACACCGCCCCCCCACGACGCGCTTGGGGAGACGCGGAATTTGGGTGTTTGTGAAAATCAAGTTCAAGGAATTGAAGACGGGGCTGGGCACACCTCTGCACATGGGAGAGGAGGGCTCTGAATGGGGGTGGGGGTCCCCGAGCAAACGGAACTCTACTAACAAGAGTAACGACGGTGGCGGCGGCAGCGAGGAGACCGGGGAGGAAAGACCCGTCTCCTTTAGGAGCCTTCCCGGGGGGCCACTCACATCTCCCGTGGGGAGATCCCGCCAGGGTCCCGCCTGGACCCCACTCCAGGTCTTTGCTAGGACACGGGCGCCCTCGAGTGGTAAAGGTAAAGGTAAAGGCCCTCCCGTTGATCGTCGATTTGCTCGAGCGGGCCCAGTAACGTCTCCATTGGAGACTTTGTTGTTACTGTGTCTGGCATATCGAATACTCTCGGTAGCTTGCCGGGCTCTCCGAGAGGGGCAGAGGAATCGAACTCGGGTCGGCCATGTTGGCCGCTTGTAAGGCGAACACCCTACCCGCTGTGCTATCGCTCCAGCCCCCTCGAGTGGAAGGTGCTAAAAACGGGCCAGGTGGGGGCGCCCTTCTGTCTCTCCCCACAGCCATCAGAGAAGCCCCCGGGGTGCTCTCTGCCTCCAGGGGCCCCTCGGCCCCAACCCACACCTGCAGTTGGGACAATCAAGAAGGTGAACTGGTGACTCCTGGCCACGTGGACTGAGCGGTGCCCACGGGGGCAGATTACCCTGCAGGGTCACCGGTGGGCTAGGTGCGAAGGAGACGAGTGTCATTCACCCCATAAGGATCCAGCTTCATTGACCGAACCCCAAAACTCCCCCCTAAGGATGGGGGTGCCCAGCTGTGCGGGCAGGCTGGCTGGCAGTGGACGGCAGGATGGCATCGCCCAGACCACACGGCAGTGACCACCTTCCTGGTCAGCGTGTCTCCAGGGCACACCTGGGTCCCAGCCCCGCTGCACCCCAGAGCACGGCCTCTGGCCGTCAGGGACTGTCAGCAAGTCCACAAGGGACAGCCTTGGGGCGCGTGTTTTTCTACCCTATATTTAGGGTTATTTCCTTAGGGCGCATTCCCAGAAGTGGGATTAGTGGGACAAAGGGTAAGAGTATACTTGAGGCCGGTGCCAAACTGCTCTCATTCAGGCCGCATTAAGGAGAACCGGGGAGCACGGCTAAGACTGAGGGGGGCCTCGCGGCTGGCCCCTAGCCTGCCTGGGTCCTGCTGGGAGTCACGGGGGCGGGGACAGTGCACGGCTGCCCCTGGGCACTGGACTCGCAGGTGTGACGCAGGCGGCATCGTGCACAGGGGCTCGAGATGGGGCTGCTTTGGGGGTCCCAGAGGCTTGCAGCGCTGGTGCACTGAACCCAGCACGTTCCTGGGCCTCCCAAGCACCCAAGGACAGAATGAGGGTGATCAGACCCCCCCCAACAGCACCCACCCCCACCCCTGGGTGCTGACCGGAGTCCCCCAAGTCTCTCTGCCCTCCCAAGCTCCCTCCCCTCCAACCCGCCTTCCCGTTGCCATGGGGACGCCTCTAAAAGCAACTGAATCATGACGTGTGAGCATGAGGCGCCCAAGATGAGGCTGCGGCTGAGTCAAGGCCACGGGGAAGGAGCTGAGATCCTGGGAAGGGCCCCGGGCCCCAGAGCGGGCACACAGTGGGCAGGGGGCAAACCCCGAGGCATCCCACAGGCGGCACTTCCAGGCCCCCAGAAAGACTCGCCCCCCCAAGGTCTCACGCCAAGCAGGGGAGTCAGAGGGCGGAGGCCCAGTGCCATTGCCTCCCGGGTCTCTGGACACGTGGAGGGGGTGGAACTCCAATGCTTCTGGAGTTCTGCCACCTGCTTCCTGTACCTGGTGGCACCAGGATGAGCCAGGCAGGCAAAGCCCCTCCGGGGCAGTTCTGAGCCAGGACCCATGGGCAGGCAGGGCAGGGACGGTGACCCAGGAAGCCACCCCAGGGCACTTCTCATTGGAGCCACTGGACACACCCCCAGGCTGTCCCCACCTCCCTCGTCCAAGGATGCCCCCTGCGGCTCCTTTCACCTGCCCCTCACATCTGCATGGTCCTCCCCCACCCCAAGGGGCCCCCATACAGCCAGACAGTGGGGAGGCCGGCGGGAGGCAAAGGGGCCTCACAGGTATGCGCCCCCATGCCAGCCCATGCCGCTGGTCTCTGTCACCAGCCCGCTCCCGGGGCGGCTGTGACTCTCCAGAACATTCGCTGACTTGGTGCTGACTCCATCCCTCGTCCCTCCAGACTCGATCAAAGGTTCTGATGGCAAAGGTGCCCCCGTGCCCAGCGGCCAAGCACCGGGCCCCCGCACCCCCCCGCCCAATTTCCAGGCCTCTTCCCATGCCCTGCGATGGGGCCTGGGGTGAAGGGTCCCAGTGTGGAAAGAGTCCTCTGCTCTATTATTAAACCCGGGGAACCATTTGGCCATAAAAGGGGGCAGCTGCCATGGCTGGACGCGTGATTAACGAGCCCGAATCTGCCTCCTGCCGTCTCCAGGAGGGAGCGGCTGCTCTCCATGGCCGCCCCGGGGGGCAGAGCCCAGCCACCCTCAGGGCCTGGACCCGGGCAAGCGACCACCCCGAGGGACGGGTCTTGGGGCGGCTCAGGGGTAGAGGCGGACACTGGAAGCGACTGCTCGGCCTGACAAAGCGGGGGAGGCTTCAGAAGGCGAGAGGGGGCTCCCCAGCCCCCCAGAGCAGCCTCTGAACCTGGCCCGCACGCACGGTGGGCAGAGGGCGCAGGCGCAGTCTGTGGCGCCCCCGTGGCTGCAGGCTCTCTCTTCGCCCTTTTGACATCTCACGCCCCACATATGCCACACACGCTCATTCACACGCATGTGCAACGCACACGTACCACACACACACATACCGCACACGCTCCCCCGCACACACTCACCCACACTCACACGCCGCTCTCACGCTGCACAGTCATTTGGGAGGGACGGCAAGGGCTGACACCAGAACCCGCCTTCCTGACAGCTGGTGGGTCATTTCAGGCGGTTCCCAGCTCAGCGCTTGCCCTGGGGGCGCCGCTGTCTTCTCCCGTGACCCCCGGGATGTGTGACAGCCGGGACACAGCTGGCGGCCCCCCAGTCCTGGCCTCCGCCACCGTAGCCCAGCACACACGCCAAGACGCCCTGCGCTGGGGTGACGGGCTGTCGGGGAAGCAGGTGCGGGGGTGAAGGAAGGTGCCCTGGGCCCACCACCGGGAGACAAGCCCACTGAGGCGGCTGCAGCCAGGGCCACTCCAGGCCCGTGACACCCTGGCAAAGTCCAAATGGCGCAGGGCAGCCGGGAGGGCGCTTGCCTTGCATGTGGCCGATCCAGGCGGGGTCCCCCGAGCACCACCGGGAGGGATCGGCGTGCAGAGCCAGGCTGGGGCCCCAAACCAAACCAAACGAACTGCCACGGCTAGGAGGGAGGGGCGCAGCACGGCTGGGGCCCCAGGGTGCCCAGGCAATCCGTGCGGGTGTGACACCCTCCACCCACATGAGCTCATACCCAGGGCCCCTGGCCCGCTCTAGGCAGCTGGGGGACTCACAGGCTGGCTGCAGGAGGGGGGGTTCAAGCCCGAGGACTCAGACGGAGCTCCCCCAACCCCCGCACGGGCAGAGCTGGCACACCCAGCCCCCACCACAATTCTGCATGCAGATGGGATGTAGCCGACCCAGGGTCTGAGCCTCTGCGAGAGGTGCCCGCGGCGAGCCCCCGCGTGGATTCCCCCACACGCATTCCGCTGACCAAACTGACCCATGGGCCGAGCAAAGGGTCGGCGAGGTGGACACGGTTGCCATCTAAAATGAGAATAACGGCCAGAGACAGCAGGCGCGGGGCCCAGGAGGAGCAGACACAGCTGTGGGAGGACGGTTAGGACAGAGAAGGCCCACGGTGATGAGGAGCAACGGAGACGATCACTCTGGGGAAGAACTGGGCGCTGGAAGGAGGGAAAGGGACGTGCAGGATAACCTTTCAGTAACAATATCGCAAACCACAGTGCCTACGTGGAGAGAGGGAGAGAGGGAGGGAGAGACAGAGAGAGAGGGGGAGAGGGAGAGGGAGGAAGAGAGGGAGAGAGAGTAAAAGGGAGAGAGAGAGGGAGAGATGTCTGCCATTGAGGCAGGCTGGGGAGGGGGTGGGTTGGGTGCTGGAACATTGTATGACTGAAACCCGATCATGCACAATTTTGTAACTGTGGCTCTCAGGGTGTGACAGGAAGGAAGGAAGGAGGGAAGGAGGGAGGGAAACATTTCCTATCTGCCAGCTAGCGGGGCCGGATCAGCTGCGAGCAGCTGGTTCCTGGCCCTGGTCATCAGTGGTGCCTTGCCCCGATTTTCACGAACCAAAGACCTTGTATCCCGACCACCAGCTCTCCAGGCAGCTCCACA